TGGAAACCACGCCCTATTCGCCGGGACCCGTGTCCTCCACAACATGTCTGTCCATGCGCACGCCCCTTCAATATTCATGACTACGAATAGCAGAGGCGTACCATACCTCGCCTTGCTTGCGACTTCGTCAATATCAGCCTTATGTTTTGCCAGTAGCTATGTGGGAAAGGGCGAACTTTGGGGGTGGTTGCAGAATGTTGTTGGGGTTTCGAATCAGGCACGTCGTATTTCCTTAAACCCTAAGCTCAGCCTCGTATTTATTTATTTACCTTGACAGATCGCATGGTTCTCTATCGGATTATCTAGTTGGAGATTTAGGAAATCGTGGCTCGCCCAAGGACGTACGCCCGAACAACTAAAATTCCAAGGCGCATTATGGACATGGGGATGGGGCCCTCCCTTCGTCGTTATCGCAGTCGGAGCTATAATCCTCAGTAAGCTTTAGTCTCAAATATCATTTCCAGTCGTCTTCACTTCACTGACGCTATGTTTTATTTTACTTTAGTCCAAGGCTACTCCTCAATGATCCCCATCTTCTCGCCGATATCATTCGTATCGCTCTACCTCCAAATTCCGTCAATGCTTGTATTCTTCTTCGGGTGGAAATTACTGCATCGGAGATGGTCGTTGCCGGATTTGAAGACGTTGGATCTGGATGCGGAGACGCATGTGGATGGGGAGGATGATAGGCTGGATGATGAGGAGCGAGAGGGGAATTTGAAAGGTAGATGGGGATGGGCGTGGAGGGTTTGGTATTTCATCGCGTGATGATGGGTGTATTGTTGTTGGACTTTTTACCGTAGATCTGTCGAGAAGCGACGCGAGAAAAATCATATCAAAGTGACCGAAAATCCATTGATTAAAGTTGGTAGAGAAATGAATGATATGAGACGGTAAATATGTACAGAATATATCGATGATCCAGAACAAAGGACATGCTCGGAGATCAAGAGACAAGAGTGAAAATCCTAAGTAAGAACAACATATTCTAGTGTCCAATGAAACTGGAGGAGAAAAGAAAGAAAGAAATTATCCTTTGCACAGAGCTGACCAGATCTGATGTCAAGGATAAACAAAATAGCTAAATTATAACCTTGCCATGCATGGTTCATGTGAAAGTATCACAGAGACATTAAAAGCGGCTCCGTCTTAGAAAATGGTGAAACCCATTCGGTGGTGATCACCTTAGAATACGGCCCCTGTAGGAGTAGGAACTCAAATGGAATGGGCCGTCGACGTCGGGGACATTCGACATCAATAAGGAAAGGGATTTCATTAACCTTGTAGTTGATAGGAGTCATACGTGACATTAAGAACTGTTTGAAGCTCTCCGTCTCCCACGTCGGCTTAAAACTAAAACATTGTATGTAATGCAGAACATATGAGGAGTTGTTCTGAATTTCCTCAAATAAATGCAGATAAAAATCCTTCGGGAAGACGGCAGCTAAAAAATGCAGAATTCGTAACACGGAGAGTCCAAAGAAGAACCGACGCAAATCTTCTTCGGAGAATTGCAAGTTCAAAGCCTACATCAGGAAAACGGGCAACGACGTCTAAATTTTCCGTAGAACTACACAAGCTAGGAAACATCTACGGAAAATAACAGCCCACTATCGTTACTACCTGTCCCTACGCCATTTAGAACAAACTCCGCTGGTTTGAATAGTTATGAGTGTCAGACAATGCATTGCAACTTAGTATCATACCACCACCACCTATCCTCTTTTCACAGCCTCAATGCTAATCACTCCTTCACTTTGGAAGAATCCAGCAAACAGTAATGTTATAAATTGTTGAGAGAATGTTTGAATGCTGTTGAACTGGATCTAAGGCTCATTATTCAGCACTTTCCATTGGTTCACCATTAGTGAGTTCATCCGATACTGACCTCTAGGTCTATCAGCTAAAGATGAACACCCCATCCAGGTGTCATCACAGTCTTTATTGGTCAATAAATACCTTTCTGGAGAGATAACCTAGTGTTAAGACATAATATGGACACTTCTGAGTGCACCATGTGCTATGCTGAATATCAAACTAAACGAGGAGGATAGGTTAATAAATAAAGGCTAAAAATATTGGACATTGTAGGTATTAAAGTTGCAAAATCTTCATGCTCACAAGCCCGCTGTACACTGGATAACCATTGTGCCCGCAATGGATTGGACACTTTATGCCTTAGAATGCCACTGACAATCGATTCTACTAATCAAGGAAGAAAACGTTCCAGGGTGATGGGAAGCGGCTTATACTACGAAGATTAAACTTGATTGAGGATTATTCAATAGGACGATGGTACGAAGGTATAAAAAGGATTTGAGAGGACATCCCAAGTTAAACGTGGCATGTGACTTACGAATGCTGTCCATTGCCTGCGTAGTATACTGCGCAAATATCGCAGTGCGTTGATATTGTACGAAAGAGAGAATGGGATACTCAAAGAGAGATAATTAAGAGGATATACGAAAAATAATCTTCGCAATCGAGACTGACACTGGTAAGGTTCGAACGCATGCAGAGTTAACTAATGCATCCGAGCAATGCCAACAAGCGTTGCTAATCGACGCGGAGCAGTTATTAACTCAGCGTGAACATCCCCAGCGTCGTTTTCTGGAATGCCAAAAAGTATATTAATGAAGAGAGATTTGGCAATCAGAATTCAGGATAGCCTGATCTTCGCGATAGACACACTGAGGTTCCAAGAACTTCCTGCTATAATAGGATTGGATTGGACATTGTCAATCAAAATGCCAGCCTACTATAGTGAATGTAGAGCCGTTCCCGGTGTGATGTTATTCTGAAGAGTAGACAGGGAGACATAGAGGATGGAATACCAGGGTCAAGGTTTAACTATGCTTGAGGTCACGGTCGCTGTCTTGTGAAGATCTTCGCAGGAGACACGCAGAAAACGTCTGCTGGTAGGTCGATCCTAGCGATAAATATTATTTAATCGTGAATGCTCCATTAATCTAACCCATAATTAGTTTCAGTGTGTCAACCTGCTAGGATTTTCGTAATATTATCGAAAGCAGCACGTCCAAATACTTGGAACACGGCGTCGCGGCCACCGTCAACCACTTATTTGTGTAAATATGGAACCTGTACGCTAGATCTAGCAGTTAAAATTTGTATCTTTTGGATTACGTAGAATTGCAATGGAAAAGCTACTATACTTGAAGGGATATGATAAGAAGGTAGCGTATAACATTTCTATATGAAAAAAGGGGGTATGAATGGAATGCAACTAGTCGAGGAACCAATGTGGTAAAGATCTTCATGGGTATCGGTATTTCAGTCTGCCATCCAACTTGTACTGCATTATGGAGTACGTGATAATAATGACATGAGGCAATTTTAAGTCGTCCGTGAGGTGTTCCTTTGCAATCTCTAATAATGCATGACGTTGTTTTGAAAATAACATGGCTTCCTTCGCAGGATATGAGCGGACGATAAGTTCGTGTGAATCTGCATTGTGGAGCTTATGGGACAGATATTAGGATACAATGCAAATCAGGAAAGACAACTAAAACGTACCTCTAGCCCTTTGCCGCGAATACTCCACTTGTACGTTTGACTGTCAGGTCCAACAAACAGTCGTGAGCTGAGGAAATATAGGTTAATAACGTATATTATTCGGGGCAAGCATCGTTACTTACGTAGAGGCGTTATTCGTACGCCGTAGGAAAGCATTCAAGTCGAATGATCTAGCACCAAACGTGACAACGGTATCGCTCCAATTGAGATATGAAACGGAGGCAAGTTGAAGTCCAGCCTTCCCTGGGTTTTCTGGCATCTTCAGAATATCAGAGGTGCGAAGGCCATCGGGATAGATGGTGGATTCGATTGTATAGAAGGCATCTTCGGAGTCAAGGGCTGGTACCACATATGTGGAGAACTGGTCGTGCTGGATGAAGTATAGAGATTTCATTGGTAAGAGATCTGTTATGGGGATCTGAAGAGAGGATAGAAGCTGAGTAGGAACGATAGTGCCGGCGATAACGTGAACAACGCACCTTGCTTTATACTAGCCATGTCCATCATAAGATAGCCGGAAACCGGTCGCATTCATACTGATGCGCCACTGTATAATCATCCTCCGGGACGGTTCAAAGAATAATTATGCAAACATGTCAGCGTAGTCGTCATTTTGGTGATGAAAGCACAAGTGCGACAACCGGCTATGTATTTGGTACCGGTTACCCGTTGAGCGCCAACATCTTTTGAGCTCCGTGATTTATAAAAGAACTTGAAATGTCGTAGGAGAATCTTGTACTTATTTAATAAATCACATCTATCAAGAGAGCAAGTCTGAATATTTTGGTATTTTTAATGAGAGCATTCCTTGGTAAGGTTCTGCCAATAAAGAAAAACAGATGAGTAAAAGTATTGGACTTCTGGTAACCAATAGACCCGAAGCGAAGCGTTGGCTTGACGGACAAAGATAAAGACGCACCTTGACGGATCCTTGCGTGAGAAAGCATATTTAATTCAATCTTGGCCTATTCCAGCCCCTCCAGAGTTGAAACGACCATCAAAAGCCACATGTAGAGGGAAAAGAAGCTGTAGAAAAAATAATGCGGTTACCAATTATATTCAAACGCAATCCCTCCCTTTCAAATGCAAGTCCCTGATTAATGTGGAAAATTCGGATTGACAATGAACCGGATAAGCAATTGCAACGAAGACATGTCATGAAATGTACTTAATTTAGTTTGTGTTCTCAGGGCCACTGGAAGACGTTGATAATAACCGCTGGGTCCTTCCCTGTCCTTCCATGGGATGAGTCACTGCCCTTGAAATATGTTCCCCAAGAGCAATAAAGCAAACATAGTGGGCACATTAATATGTTCAGATAACTAATGCCACAGCACCCATGGTACAATAAACATACTGATGACTAAGAAACAGATATATGTACATATAGTTAAAGGCGATCCCTAACATTACTATATATGGATCTACTTGCTTAAGATAAAAATAAAAGCAGTTTAAGACAAAATTGGAGATGACAAGAATTGAACTCATGGCCTCTTCAAGTTGTGATTGCAAATGAAGTATGATACAGTAACCCCTACACCACATCCCCAACTCCTGAAGTATTTTGCAGTATCCCTGCATCAGGAAAGTTGGCATGGGCGGCTAATTGCCTAGCTAGCTTTGCCCACTTGTATATAGTGCTAGCTGGATACGGCAGTATGCCTCACTAGAGATCACTATACACACTGGGCCAAGAAATTGGGACGGCAAGCTCATTTGAACAAGTCACATGTGCTCCATCAGTGTGTCATGTCTTCCTCGAACCACCTTGTCCCTCCAAACTGACACTATTACTGCCTTGACTCTGCTACTAATCTTCATGAATCAACCCTCTTGATTATTTCTCTGCAAGTTTAAAACATTACACTAAATGAAGTCATTGCTCTATTCAAAAGGGTCTTCTACAAACTCTCTCTGGTCTGGTCTTGGCTTTTCCTGCTCACCTGCAATACTTTCCTTCTTTCTTCTTCACCTGAGCTCTCTATGCTGTCTTCTGTTGGCCGTCAATTTGGTTCTATTCATCCAGTTTACTTTCTTGCTCAAAGGGGTGCTGGAAGTGCTGAGATTTCAGGAAGGATACTGTTTATAAGGGGATTGACCCTGTGTTGGCATGCAGTATGTGCTCTGCCTTCCCCTCTTAACAGCCAACTAACATAGATTCTCTCTAGGCTTATGTATATTAATGCATTGCAAGGATGGTCTAATACTTGCCCAGAGCATTAGGTGAGATAGCATTAATATCATTCTCACACTCCTGTTATTTACTGAAAGTGAAGGAGCCTATTGTGATGTGCTGTTCTATTTTAATAATCAGTTTAGAATGTATATACTTTAGAATAGCTCATATAATGTAAAACAGATACCTGAATAAATGTTCATTCATTAAAAATATCAGAAGGAAACAATAAGTGAGAATGGAGGTCTAGGAAATTTCCGCCGACTTTATCTCCTCCAGTTCCCTGCCTGGTATTGATATATATATATAGACTGCTTATTGATAATTCCAAAAAAGGATTACCGGTAGATATCAATGTGTGCACGTTTTAAATATTTTAATCGAAAAAATCATTGACACGATATCTTGCTGCTTTGGTAGGGGCTCACTCGTGCGACTGAATGTTATTAATGTTAATGTATCTCCCCATACCATGTCGGTCTCTCGCTTGGCAATCTATGACGTTAGTACAATGGTAACATCTTTAACCCTGCCACGTTGAACAGACATGTTTGGCGTTGGTTACGTTCCTAATAGATTTAGAAGATCTAGACTCGCGTATGGCTTATTTCGTTGCACAGACTTCATATTCAAGATGCTGGTACTCGGTCCGACGGAGGTATATGTATAGCCGATGGATTCCTTTTAGAGGGAAACATAACATGTGTGATCTTTAAGTGTAGCATCGTCCCAATATCTCCACCTCGGGGTCGCATGAAAGAAGAACCGAAAGACAAAAATATAAGTGATTCTTGGCCCACAGGAGATTTATCGGAGCTCAGGCTCTCATGTCACTTTAAAGCATGGGCCCAGGTGGCAGAAACTTCTATGCTTCTTTTGACGGTGTTTGAATTGAACCCCTGAAACAATGACTCTATGTTACGCAGGTGCCAACTGAGAAGGACGTGGTATTGGTTTCGGCATTCTGAACGATATGCATTGAGTCTGTGAAAGAAGAATGCTGCGGAATCTGACAAGTTAACGTTTGGATCTCGAAGCATGGAGCTTTCTAAGTTTTAAGAAGGATGAGAAATAAAGCCAGCTACGTCTCGTAAGGCCGGCGTCTTCTTGATTACTGAGCCTGATCGGGATTTGACTTAATTGGAAGAGTTAAGTTCAGGAAGAATAAGAGGGTTCCCAGCATTTATTCGGGTGTAGGATAACAGCACTTCGGATGATAAAAAATGGCTCTATTCTCGTGAAGTAAGCATATATAATCAAATTTCTGTCTATTCTAAAATTGAATTTCCCAGCTTTTTGCCAAGTAAAATGTGGAAGGGAGGAGAGAATCAAAAGTTCGACAACGCTTTACGTGTGGCATCGATTTTGGAAGTCATGTTAGATTTAATTCTTTGGGAAGTAGTTGAACTGAGATCAACTTGCAATGATCAACAATCAATGTTCAATTCAGTAACCTGGAGACGCTCGCCCACCGTAAGGTGTTGACGATATTATTATAATATTTCAGACTTTCAGAGACAGCCGAGTGGGAATTCCCGGTCACCTATTTCCGGAGAACTTCAGGTTATTACTTCCACAGATAAGTCTCACTGCTGTGGCAGATGTTCGAATATAATTTAGGCTATATCAATCTTCTTCTCCTTGCGTTCTGTCTGATGAGATCTAAGCGTAAGAAGTCACGGTCCTCTCCAGAATTTATCAAACTTGGGATATAATCTGATAGGAGTTGAGGAGCCTGACATAGATCTACTAGGACTTAGGTCAGCCTGATAATTATCAACTTATGTACTCTAAGTATCGAGGATAATGGGATTCAAGCGCTATATAGAAGGAAGGGGAGAAGTCCAAGCGAAACCTAAATATCCTTCGGCAACACTGAAGCATTAATCGGGAGGCAAAGAGCCTAGCAGAGCAATACCTCCAAGTCGAATGACCCGCACCCGCATACCTACTCATTTCCCTTTCATATAAATAAATCTACACCGCTTCATTTGATACGAACCTAGAATAAGTATGACAGCACACCCTGACACAAATCTAACGTGTGGCGACTTCGCGGGCACCTCAATGGGAAGCAAAATAATTAAAGTATGACAGCTGTTGATAAAGAGTACTGAGGAGTGGAAGGGAGAAAGGATCTTCACAGGGAGTCTGTCTGTATAAAAAGTAAAAAGGCCATAAACAAGGAACACGACTCACGGAATGCCAGCTAACGTTACAGACTAACCATAGGAATAAAATCATATCAGACTGTAACACAAGCTTTTCCTGGCGTCCAATTTTATAATATAGGCTAAACGAAGGCTATTTCTGAAGAAAGAGGTAGCGACACCTATTGGAAAAGGCATGAGCGACTAGGAGAAAATGAATGGCATTAACGCTAAGGCTAAGATCCATCTCGCCTTTCCTTCGCGGTGTATTATTATGCACCGGTGAGAACTGCGATCCGAGGGACAGAACCTCAGAGTCCTTCCGCATCATAGTTTTACTAGCCAAACTGAAAACAAAGATCAACGTTTTATGTTATAAAAAACGGGGATTGAACCTAAACTTGAGCTCCTAAGTATCCCAATCCTTGAACCGTGGAGTGGTCATCGAGACTCAGGAGTTCCGAGTGAATATGGAAGCTGTCAGTACAAATATAAGCTTGACAGTGGTATAAGGGTATCCGAAAGGAACCCCCGTAACGCTTAAATTAAACGACGGCCGTTATTATTTAGGGGGATTAATATTTGAATTTCGGCTTCTGTACTGGCAGAGAGTTCAACACGTAGAATGGAAGTGAAGAGAACCCGTAATGATAGATACGAACTATTTAGTCAGGATTCCCTATTTTCACGCCTGAGATGCAGAATCCAGACAGATCCAGGCATGCCCATTTACGACATAAGCGGCCTTACCCTCCCTACACAATGTCATCAAACATCACTCTTAACGCCTCTTAACCCCGCATGGATGTATGCGTAGTACATATGCTATCTGTCCTCCATCAAAAGGTCTCCTTGATTTTCATACAACAACAATGGGAAAGAAAAGCAAATGACAAGAGAAGCCACGCTCAATGTCTTCATCGACCTCAAATCTTACTGACTCGGCGAGTCGAAGTTCAGTAGAATAACAAATTCACAAATAAGCGAAAGGACCGCTCTCACAGCTTTTCTCCTAAACGGGAAATCCCGCATGATGATGCTGTACTGCATGTGCTGCACTCAAACACGTACTTAATGATATTAATACCATCCCTATACACATGCAATGCCTGGATTCTTGAATTTACGTTTTCTGGGTCTGGGGAAATATTCTACCAGAGTTTGTCGGAAATTATGCGTCACTTCTTTATGACGAGCGTAGACCTGTGTACCATGAGAATATAGCCATGATTTGATATTTGTAGTTCCCGTCAGTATATGGAAAACAAGAACAGACCCTGACATACATGCTAGTCATGATGCATGATGTGTGATGGCCCACGATCGAAGGACTAAACCACTCAGCCCTTGAGTGCTGACCCCGAAGTTATAACCGAATAGAACCGACGATATTCGCTTGGCGTGTATAAGAGACCGACAGTGAATCAGAATATGTCTATTTATATCACCACTTAGGTCGTGAGATAATGTGACGATGGCAGGTACTTAATTAGGGACAAGCGTTGCGGCTGAAGGACAAAAGAATTTCTAAGACCGGTTCTCCTGTTTATCTACGCAGCGGAACAGGCAATTGTAACACTATTGGTTCATCACTCTTTCGCATATTTGCTAAAGCACCCACTGCCCCTGAGCCTGAGCCTTGAGGTATAGCCTATCATCTCCTCTCACTGACACTAACATCTTTGCTTCCATCCATTAACGCATATGTATGCTCATTCAACTTCGTTCTAAATCATTATCCGCATGATTCCTTGGATACCAAAGGTCATTGTAAGACCACATCTTCCACGTGTTTTACGTAAACGCTTGACGTCTAATATCTAGTTTTCTTCTTCTGCGTGGGTATGTGAACCCAAGGTAAGAAAGCTAATATGCGAAGAAGCAACTGGATATATTGCTATTACTTAGATGCAAAGAGGGTGGAGTGCGGAGATGCAGAGTGGGCAGGAGGTTCACTCAGGCTTGGAAGAGCTCACTGGCAGATGCGTGATAGTGAAGATGAGGTTAATACGAATATAGTAATCCCCGCTCGCGGTGAGTTTATAACTAAGTTGCGGTGAACGGATGAATACCTTTACTACAAATCGAGGAATACTTAGACACTATGTCCTTTCACCCCCCTAAACTCCCGTAGAATCTTTCCCTTCAGGAGATAGCACCCAAGAAATATAAATATCCACGGAATGTAGACTACAAGCAAAACAGAGCGAACCACGGAAGCAA